GGTTTCCATTCTTTGATCTACAAATCATGCTGTTGCAAACATTTTGTGCAAGGTTCTATTGGTCGTTCCCATTTCTCTAGGCCATAGCTCGGGACATAACCGCTGGGTCACAAGGCAACCCCAGCGTCCGTGTTCAGTCCTGGAGGAACTCCCAGCCTGTTCCCACTAGGAGCACGTGGCAGTTCACCTCTGCATGCTTGCCAAGCCTGCGTCTCCTCTTAGCCATCCCGCAGGTACATGGCGCTAGCTCACCAGAGCGTGCACGCGTGTTCCCAAGTGACCAATTATGATGACCGCGCTTTGCACGAATGCTTGTTGGCTGTTTGTCTGCCTTTGGAGAAACATCCGCTGAGATATTTTGCCCATGTAGGGGATTATTTGCATTCTTGTTGTTTAGTTCTGCATGCTCTTTATGTACTCTAGATCCAAGCGCCTTCTCAGCTGTAGGATGGGCATATATTTTCTCCCTCCTGAAGGTCTGGTTAAAGGCTGCAGATGACCTGTCTGAGATACACCTGCATGCAGCTCTGCAGGATGAGCCCCAAGGTGCTGCTGGGTTTGCTTTTGTCTCAGTGCTGGCCCCCTCGGCCCTGTACCTACACTGTGGTTGGTGCAGAATGGAACTGTCCTGACACCTCCACATGTGTACCTGCATTTTCTTAGCCAGACACATCCTATTTTCCATATCTTTTTCTAGCTCTAAAAGTAATATAAATATATACCTTTTTGTTTTCTATTTCAGTATTGGGGATTGAATTCAGGGTGCTTTTGCTGTGATGGAGTCAGCGAGCCTCACGAGAGGATGATGAGGCCCTCTTTAGGCCCTGCTGGTGATCGTGGTGTGCGGTGACTTCATCGCTGCCCTCTGCTTTGCTGTGCGTGTGTGTACATGTGTGCATATACACAGGGGTGGGGAGATTGGGGTGAACCCAAGCCAGCCCCTGGGCTGGGCATGTGTGCTACAGCCAAGCGAAGTACCCAGCCTCACTTTTCTTTAAAAACTCAGTTTATTTCGGATGAGGTTTATATACAATCTACAGAACTATTCTTCCTTAGAAATCTTGAAATTTCATCTATTAGTCCTAGCTGCTCATTTTCTTTGGTAAAGATTGAAGTAGTCTGAGATTTTGGGAACTCTATTAAATATACTGGCAAAAAAATCTTTAACTCACTTCCCGATAATATTTCGAAAAAATAGTTCATTAACTTGAATCATTATTTTCCAGGTTTCCAGATATGATATAAACATCTAATAAAAGAAAAAACAGTTTTTCTGTCTTTTTGAGACAGGGTCTCCCTACACAGTTCAGGCTGGCCTTCAACTCACTTTGTAACGCAAACTGGCCTCAGACTTGCAAGGATCCTTCTGCATCAGCCTCCTGAGTGCTGGGATTACAGGTGTGCACCACCACACCCAGCTGAAAAAATTGTGTATTTTTTTCCTAATTTTTCTTCTTGTAAGGTTCAACAGATGTTTTAAGTAATTTGGGGGGCTGCACTGTTAGGTGTGTTTCTGGTTTAGGGTGAAGCCTGAACACACACATCCTGGTCTCTGCTTCACAAGGTGTCACTGAGCTAGAGGAGAGCGAAGGTCAGAGAGAAGGGGAAATCACATGAGCCCAGAACACCACGTTCAGTGAAGGAAACCCTGGCAGCTGGCAGGCGCAAGGTCAGAAACACAAGCCCTGTCACCTCAGTACCCAGAGGCTGAGGCAGGAGGATCCCTATAAGTTCATGGCCAGCCTGGGCTATGTAGTAAGTTTAAGGCCAGCTTAAACCATATAGTGAGTGAGACCTTGTTTCAAATGAAGTCAACAAATACAAAGCAGGCAGAAAAGCATTTTGGGTAAGTCATAAAGAAAGTATCCCTGGAATTTCAGGGACCATGCTTTCTCCTTTTCTCCTCTTTATTTTTTATTTTAAAATTTAAAAAATGTTTTGAGATAGGATCTCACCATATAGTTCAGTATGTCCTTGAACTCACTATGTAGCCCAGGCTGCCCTTGAACTCACTTGGATCTGCCTTGCTTCAGCTTCCTGAGTGATGGGATTACAGATTTGCACCACATATCCAGCATCTTCTTTAGTAACTCAACAAATATTTGTTGAGCACATCGCCAGGCACTGTTTCTAGGCCTTGCTACAAGTGTGTTTGCCCTTGGGATTGAACCAGAAAACCATTCTCTGGCACAAGCATCCACATGGACGCAACCCTGGGTGCTGGCTCAGAGCCAGGCTGTCGGCACTCCAGGTGGACATGGGGGCCAGGGTGCAGCTGTGCGGCCCTCACCTGCCATCTTGCTCACTGAGGCATCCTCCCCTTACACAGAAGCTGAGAGAGAGAGCCCCATGGCAGGGACCACCATCATCACTACCGTGCAGCTGAGCAGGAGGCTAGGCAGCTTGGCAGCAGGACAGGAAGGGAAAGCGTGACCTGGTAGAAAGGGAACAGAGCCAGTGTGTGGTGCACGTCTGTAATCTCAGCATTCGGGAGGCTGAAGCAGGAGGACCCTGGCAGGGGCCAGCCTGGGCTGCATAGTGAGTTCAAGGCCAGCCTGAACTACATGGTGAGACCCTGTCTCAAAAAATAATTTTAAAAAAATTAATAAATCGAATGTAGATGATGGGTATCTCAACAGAGACTTTGATGTGTGTGTGTGTGTGTGTGTGTGTGTGTGTGTGTGTGTGCGCGCGCGCGCATGCGCATATAAATTGAAGGCGAAGGATCACAGGAAAAGCTGCCTATAGCACTTCGCTGGCATCTTGTGTGCAGTTTAAAAAATCCTAAAAGATAAGTCCTAGGCTGCAAAGGTAAAGCTCCAGAGTGCCATTTCCGAGGTGCCAGTCAGCCAGCAGGTTGCACAGTGCCAGCCTCCACACTTCACTGCCCAGGGCTGGCATCAGAAGCCCTGATCAAGGGCTCTGCAGGCCAGGGACAGACAGGGCTGCAGGAGCAGATGGCAAGGGAACTCCAGGGCAGGCAGGCGATTCAGCTGAACCAGCAGTGACTCTGGGCCCACCTCGGTCTCCTTCCTGCCTGGCTGCTCGGCCTGCTGAGGATGCATGCAACTGGGCCACACCATTGGTGGCTTCATGGGGGGAGCCAAAGGCAACCAACACCCCTCGAAACGCCCCCCCCCCCGCCACCTCTCTGGGTGCAGTGGTATCTGCTCAGACTCATGGACTGAAATGCTGGTTTAAGTATGTACTGGGGACTGAACCCAGGACTTTTGCATTGAGCTAAATCCCCAGCTGCTTTGTAATTTTTATTTTTTGAGACAGGGTCTTATTATGTAGTCCAGGTTGGTCTTCCTGCCTCAGCTTCCCAAGTGCTAGGGTTATAGGAGTGCACCTATGCTTGGCCTTTTATTAATTTTTGAGATAAGGCGTCATTAAGTCACCAAGTTGCTCAGGCTGGGTTCATACTTGGAATCTCCCTGCTTTCCTTCACTTCCCAGAGAGCTGGCATTTGCTGCCACACCCATCTTGAAATGTCTGTGTTCTTTATTTCTGCTTTATAATTTGATGGAAGCATTATGTTAATCTCTTATGGAATACTATTTGAGGAGAAACTGTATGATCAATAAACTTCATTTGTAGATAGCAAAAGGGTCATTGTAAAGTGTTTGTAATGCTCTTTGGCAATAAGCCCCATGTAGAGCTACAGATATAATGCAACTGCTATAAAAATTCTAATTTGTTTATTTTGGGGTTTTTTGAGAGTTGTAGCAATCCTCGTGCCTCAGCCTCTCAAGTGCGGAGGAGGAGGAGGGAAGGAGGGGGAGGAGGGAGAGGGGCGGAGGAGGAGGAGGAGGAGGAGGAGGAGCTCCTGGATTATTCCCGGGAGTCCCAGCAGGTGACCAACAAAGCTCTTTGTCAAGGTCATGTTATACACCAGAATCACAGCTTGGGTAACCAAGAGTCAAACCACAATAAACGCACAGGGTTTCACATACAGTCCCTGGGCTAATGCCAAAGGGAAGGTCTGTGGTGAGCATCACTTCCCTCCCTTACCGATAACCTTTAATGAGGAAGGAACAAAGGACCTGGGGCCTAGAAGGCAGTCTGGGGCAGGATGTGCTACCGCTTCTGACGACACCCTGGCTGGGCCTACTGGACCCAGGGGTGCCAACTCCAGTGCTGGCTGAAGCGCTGTCCTCTCCAGGTGGCCTGCAGGCCTGGCTCTTCCGATTGGCGGGCAGCCACAGCTTTGCTGTGTTTCATTTTTTGCCCTGACTTCCTTGAGGGACCAATCCCTCTCTGATTGCTTATTAATTTGTAGCTAAATTAGCTTTCTATAATAGCAGGACCTTGTCTCAAAATCCAAAAGGTGGGGTTCGGGATGTAATGTAAAAACCCTGGGTTCAATCCCCAGTACTGAAACCCCAAACAAAACAAAACAAAACTCATCACAATTGTAAGTAGTTCAACACACTAATCCCAGAGAAGTTAGAATACAGCTTCAACCCAAAATGTGGGCTGGGGATTTAGCTCAGTGGCATAAGCACCTGCCTTGCAAGCGTACAGTCCTGAGTTTGATCCTGGTACCAAAAAAAAAAAAATGTGGGAGTGAAGCCGGGCGTGATGGTGGCCCCTGTAATCCCAGTGACCCTAAGGCTGAGGCAAGAGAATTGATGTGAGTTTAAGGTTCAAGACCAGCCCGGGCCACATGGTGAGTTCAAGGCTTATCTGAATTACATAGTGAGACCGTCTGAAAAAGAGAAAGAAAGAAAAAGAAAGAAAGAAAGAAAGACAGGAAGAAAGAAAGAAAGAGAGCAGGGGATTTAGCTCAGTGGCATAAGCGTTTGCCTGACAAGCATGGCCTCATGAGTTTGAACCTCCATACCAAAAACAAAAACAAAAAACCACAGGCCACATAAATACAATCCTGGAGCACTGCATGATGAAGAAAAGAAACTGATACCATTTCCTCTGTCCAAGGTGCTGCAAGCAGGGGCTCTCCGAGAGTGATAGGCATTGAAACGCAGGACATTCCTGGGTCCATGGTTGTGATACTATTTATTTGTATTTTTAGAAGACATTGGCCTATTTTTCAAACTTTACCCCACTGAAAATATGCATTATGAGCCTTTTTGTTTATATTTTTCTGCAGAACTCATTTTCTGGACAATTTCAACATCACTATCTCCTCTAAATTGATTTTAATGCTTGCCGGGAGCTATTAGCAGATAAATTTGCTTTCACGGTGCTCAGTTTATTTGCTCTTACACGGTTTAAATACCTAATTTCTAGTGATGCTGTGTATGCGTGTGTGTAAATATAAGACTGTCGACTCGATTTTCTCCTCGGAACTTGGGAGTCGGGTTGCAGGAGCTGTGACTCCTTCCAGAAATTTCAGCCCCAGCTGAAGGGTGGCCCATGTCTGTACACCCACGTCCTGGGGGTAGGGTTGTGGTCATCTTGTCCTCCCAGCCTGGTGGACCCAGCAGATGGATTCGGCAGCATGAGTGAGCCCAGGTGAGACCAGAACTTCCCAGGGAGGTCAGAGAAATAATAAACCGCTGTTGTCTTGAGTTACTAGTCTGGGTGCTGGCAGTAAACAGCCAAGGCAATACCCAGCTAGGGATGACCAGATTGTCCAGGTGTTAGGTCACTACATGTAGCGGTAGACAGGAAGTGGAGAGGGAAAGAGGAGAACTGAAGAAATGTCCGAGAAGTCCGAAATAGAAAATACTGTATCACGCTGCATGATGCTTCAGAACATTGTGCTTCCACGCTGGCGACAAAGCGCAGGAGAAGAGATTCCACCCGCTCCAATTACTGCCTGGGATGCATCACAGAATATGCTGTACATATCCATCGGTTCAAAATACATTTAGCTGGAATTCTAGTTGAGTATCTCCTTTTCTTCATCATATTTTCAATGAACACATCCTAATTTTGTGTATTTAAAAATTTTTAGCCATGTGTGATGGCACATGCCTGTGATCCCAGTGCTCGGGAGGCTGAGACGGAAGGATCTCTAGGAGTTTGAGGCCAGCCTCAGCTACACAGTGAGCAAGACCCTGCCTCAAAAAAACCAAAAGAAAAATAATTAAATTTTGATTGGTATATGTTTGTACCAATCAATTATGTAGAACATAGTTAATTATTCATTGTGGGGGTTAGCACATGGACAGAACACATCTTTTATACCCCCTTACTCTCCTTTTTCCCAGCCCCACCTCTTAGTTTCTTTTCTATAGTGATCTAACTACTCTTAATAGGAAGAGTTGTATTAGTTGCAAAATTAGAAGAAAGGCATAGCTACTAGTACTGTATTATATAAAAAATAAACTTGTGAAACTCATAACAAGGTTGTTTTAGAAAGTATAGATATTGGAGCTGGGGATTTAGCTCAGCGGCATAAGCACCTGCCTTGCAAGCAGGCAGTTGTGAGTTCGATCCCTTGTACCGATAAAAACCCGAAAAACGCCAAAAAAAAAAAAAAAAAGAAAGAAAAAGAAAGTATAGATTTTATTTGTTTGTTTATAATACTGGGGATGGAACCCAGGCCTTTCCACTGAGCTACAACCCCCCAAAACTTTTTATTTTGTTTATTTTGCAACAAGGTCTTGCTATATAGTTCAAACTGGCCTTGAACTCATTATATAGCCCAAGCTAGCCTCAAACTTTCAGTGGTTCTCCTGCCTCAGCCTCCTGAATGCTGGAATTACGGATGTGCACCTCCATGCCTGGCTTTATTTTTATTTGCGAGACAGAGTTTCACTAAGTCATCAAGCTGCGTCGGTTGGCCTTAACCTTGTGATCCTTCTGCCATAGCCTTCTGAGTAGCTGGGCTTATAGATATATGCCACTGTGCCCACCTTTTGTTTTATGAATTCCACAGTACTTGCTGTTTACCAAGAACTGATGGAGAAATTAAGAATGCAAAATCAAGGAATGGGGATATAGCTCAGTGGCATAAGTACCTGCCTGGCAAGTGTGAGATCATGAGATGGATCCCCAACAAAAGAAAGAAAGGAAGGAAGGAAAGAAGAAAGAAAGGCCCTGCCCACAACCGCAGTACTTCATAAAAGAAAAGCCTGAGCCAGGCGTGGTAGCACAGATCTTTACCCCAGCACTTGGGAGGCTGACGCAGGAGGATCTCTGTGAGTTCAAGACCAGCCTGGGACACAAAGTGAGCTATAGGGCAGCCTGAACTACATAGTGAGTGTCAAAAAGACAAAAACAAAACAAAACAAAAAAAACTGTCCTCAGGCAACACAGTTTTAGGTTTCTTTAGCACTGCAACGTAAAGAAAGATTCTGGGCTACAGATTAATTCATGGTAGTGTGCACTTTATTTATTTATTTATCCCCCCCCCCTTTTTGTCTTTTTCCTTTTTATTGGTACCAGGGATCGAACTCACAACTGCCTGCTTGCAAGGCAGGCACTTATGCCGGTGAGCTAAACCTCCAGCCCCTAGTGTGCACTTTATTGACTTTTTTCTGAATTTAAAAAGTTCTGAGAATCAGTGGGAAATACTAGGAATGCCTTAAAATCAATGCAATTATCGCTACAACTATTTTGGAAATACTTTTGGTAGCATTTGCTAAAAACAAATGCAGACATATCCTATGACTAGCCAGTCCATTTACAGGTATCCACTCACCTAAAGCCAGGTAAGGGACACTCCAGCAGCACTCTCCCGATACCCCATGCTGGAGACAGCCTGGTGGGCCGCTCCTGATAGTTAGGTAGCCATTGGTCTACATGAGACAAAGCAATTACTTATACCTTATTGGGGCTATGCCAATTACTGTTTGTGAATCAGGGCCTCACTATGTAGTTCAGGCTGGCCTTGAACTCAGTGTGCATCCCAAATTTCCAGAGATCCTCCTGCCCACGCATCTTGAATGCTGGGATTATGGGCATATGCCACTACCTCAGGTTAGGCCAATTATTTATTCAGTTATTTACTTATTTGGGTACTGGGGATCAAACTCACAACCATGCACTTGCTAAGCAGGCACTTACCCCACTGAGCTAAATCCCAGCCCTAAACCAATTGATTTAACCAAACAAATTAATATAAGGAATGGTCTGCTTGTACAAGTATCGGGGAACTAAGTTAAGGGGGCATGAACGCACCCAGTGATAATGCAGGAGAAAGCCAGTGTGGTGGCACACACCTGTACCCCTAGCACTCAGGAAGATGAGGCAGGAGGATCTGAGAGTTCAAAACCAGCCTGGGCTATGTATGCCTCAAAAAACAAAGTCAAAACCAGATGCAGTTATTAGCACCCACCTCTAGGTCTGGGGAATAAAGCCAAGAAGCTCAGAGGAGTGATGGGACCTGGATCTCAGTGGCAGGGTGCTGCTGGGTGCTAAGGGTACTGCTCAAGTGTGTGGGAGGCAGAAGCCAGCTCTGCTCCCAGCAAGGACCTGTGTTGAGACGCTGGGACAGGACTGGCACAGGTGGGAGCTGGCCTAACTGTTCTCTAGGTTCCAGTGTCCTTTGGGTGCCCCTGGCAGGCAGAACAAGTGGAGCTCCCACTAGCAGAGTAGCAAAGGCTTGCAGCTAAGATGGGTGAGGCTCAGGGCTAAGAGATGGTAGCTGAACAAATGCACTCACAGGGCTGGGCTGTACTCAGTGGTAAAGCACCTGCCTAGCATGCTCCATACCCAGGGTTAGATCCCAGTGCTGTCTGTTTAAAAAAAAAAACTGAAAGGATCAATACATCAATAAATGGGCTGGGAATGTAGCTCAGTGGCATAAGCACTTACCTGGCAAGCACAAAGTCCTGAGTTACATTCCTGGTACAAAAAAAATTTTTTTTTCTTTAAAAATGTGGTATAAGCCAGGCATGGTGGCCCACAACAGTAATCTCAGCATTGAGGAGGCTGAGGCAGGAGGATCATTGCAAATTCAAGACCAGCTTGGGCTACAAAGTGAACTCTAGGTCAGCCTGAACTGCATAGTGAAACCCTGTCTTACAAAGAGAAAAAAAAAAAAGTGGCATAGTCATGCTGGACTGGCAGCAGCTTGTTACACCCAGCTGAACTGAATTAGTGTGGTGCTGGGTGTGGAAGGCCCACCTGAGGATTGTTGCCAACAGCATAAAAAGGAGAACTGGAGAGGGAGAGGTGGTGCTGTCAGTCCTCCTGGAAAAGCTTGTTGCACTGGCTTCCTGGTAGGAGCTTGACTATTCTCATTGTCAGAGGAGCTCCACAGAAGATGACTGTGGTACTTTTCGGGGAGATCCCTGGTCCTTACTTTGAGCCTTGCTTCCTAGCTCTAGTGTAGACTTCTAGCTTACACCACTGGCCTGGGCGCCTTCCCAGTGCAGATCCTTGAAACAGGTGTGCAGGAGACATTGTCGTGGGCTTTAGGTCTTCAGCTGGACTCATTGGAGGCATGGTCATGGCTCTAGGGTTCTAGCTAGACTCATGCAGGACACAGCTGTGGGATCCAGACCTCACCTGGATTCTTTGATTTTTCTAGTCTGAGAATAAATGTCTTGCACTCTTTTGTATTTGACTCTTTGGGTGACTACTATAAAATAATCCTATAAACTATGTGTCCTGTATTAAATTGTTTTCCTTACAAATCCTGCCTTTAGCAGTCAATCAGTGGGTTACTACAAAATACAACTCATAGCGTGATGCCAGCACTCAGGATGCTGAGGCAGGGGAATCCATGAATTGAAGGCCAGCCTGGACTGCATAGCGATACTCTGCCTCCAAAAAAGAAAGGAAAATGAACTGGGCGTGGTGGGGCATACATATAATAATCCCAGCGCTCTGGGAAATTGAGGCAGGAAGATCAAACATTTGAGCCCTGGACAATGTAGCAATTTAGTGAGACTCCGTCTGAGATAAAAAATAAAAAGAGCTGGGGAAGGCCCTGGGTTCAATCCCAGTAACACACACAACCAAAACTATCTGAACACAGCCCTGGGCGTATCTGGAGGAGCCACTTGTGAGCTGGCATCTGTAAGTGTGTTCTGTAACATTTTATTTATGGCAAATCTGTTACTATTGACGATTTCCCAAGATTATCTACATTTCTTTTTCTTTCCTCTGAATGCTGAACAGAAAATTCCCTTCCTTTCATCAGCCGCAGGAGGCATTTGAGGATGCTGGCTGGCTCGGAGTGCGTGCACTCAGCACAGGAGGAAGTGACCCCTGGTGGCGGCTGTGCAATCGGCCACCCCTCTTCAGAGGCGGCGCTCAAGTCTTCCGACCAGCCTGTGCCGCTGGTGGATAGAATGTGGCAGAGGCGATTGTGACTTCCGGACGTAGGTCACAAAAGGCTGCGCGGTTCCTTCTAGGTTCTCGTCCTATTGGTTGTGCAAGCCGGCGCTGCGGCAGCCCCATGGGTAGGCGCGGGCTGTGAGGCACGAAGTCTCCGCAGCACCCCAGGACCGAGGCTTCCTCTCAGTCATGTGAATGAACCACCTGGTAACAGATCTCCAGCCTCAGTCAAGCCCGCAAATGTCTGCCGCTCCCGGGGACACCTCCACGCACCAGCTAACCTGTTCCAACGTTCCTGGGCCTCAGAGATCGTGAGCTTAGAGATGTTCATTAGTTTTTACTTCTTCTTCTTCTTATTTTCTTTTCTTTTTTTCTTTGTGAGCTGGAAGTGGTGGTTCATGACTGTAACCCCAGCGCACAGGAGGCTGAGGCAAGAGGATCGCCACAAGTTGGAACCCAGCCTGACCTACATACTGAGACCCAGTCTCAGAGAGACAGAGAGAGAGAGAGAGAAAAAGAGGTTATACCATAATAGTTAACTAATATATTCCTTAACATGCATGTGTGTGACTAGTTCATATTTATTCACTTACTTATTTTTGTGGTTCTGAGGATCTAATCCAGAGGTACTCTACCACTGAGCTGCATCTCTAGCCTCCTCCCCTTTTATTTATTTATTTTTTTTTGTTTTGAGATAGAATCCCTCTTAAGTTGCCCAGGCTGGACTGGACTTTGCGATCTTTTTGCCTCAACTTCTCAAGTGCTATACTGTATGTAATTTTTTTTCAAGACAAGGTCTGTGTGTGTTGTCCAGGCTGCCCTTGATGTCTCTATGTAGCTTAGGTTGGCCTCAAACTCCTGGCAATCCTCCTGCCTCAGTTTCAGACTGTGGGATTACTAATATTTATTTCATGCTTAGGTCCTTTTCTAACGATGTGTAATGATTTAATCTTAACAGACAAGACTGCATACTTTTCCAAGTGTTTTATGTGAACAAACTCATTTAACACCTCAGAACTTATAGCTTGGGAATGTTAGGGTCCTCATTTGCCAGATGAGGCAACTGAGTCATAGAGAATTCACCCAGGGGGCCAGCGGCAGACCTGGACCTGCATTTGAACTCTGGCCTCGTGGCCCTGAGATCTCTATGTTCATCTCTTTGCTGCCCTGCTTTCAGTGGTGCCCTTGAGAAATGCTTTCTAATGAAACAACAAAGGACAGGCCGTAAGCTTCATTGAGCACTTTGCTAAAAATTCAGACACCTTGGAAGTCCTTAAAAGGCTGGTTTCTCACCCATTAAAGGGCCCAGAATAGATGGTGCAACATTTGAAGCCTTTCCCCAACTCCCTGAGGTGCTAAATCTCCCTTCTAAGATCCAACCAGTTTTAGGGCTCCGCTTGGAAGTGTCCAAGAGCAATCACTTCTGCAACTCTCTCTTCATTTTCTATTCCATCTACTAAAAACTCATACGTGGCTGTCTCGGGTTACACTGCATGAGACTGACAGGAAAAGTGTACGTCCTGCCTTCCTTGCCGCTTTCTGATCACGGTGGGGACCACCGTATACCCATTTCTAAGGTCATCTGATATTCCCACTCTTAACTACATCTACTTAACTCATTTGATATGTGTAATAATAAATGATGCTACCATAAAAAAAGGAAATCATACCTATTGTTTCTTTAAAAATATATTTCCTTTTAAATATGGAAAAATATTTAATTTCCAAATCAGCAGAGATTAGGTCTATAATTTAGATTTTTTTTTTTTTTTTTTTTTGAGACAGGGACTGAATTCATGACAATCTTCCTGGCTCAGCTTCCCAAGTGCTGGGATGGCAGGTAAATGCCACCAGGTCCAGTTAGAATTCTTTTTTGGAGCATCTCATGTTGGATGTGGATGTGTAAAGTTGTTGATTGACACTTAATGTGGCATATTTTAATTCAATAAATTCAAAGCAACTCATAAACATTAGCAGTGAATATAGTCTTCGCCTATTTTATAAAAGAAGCAAGAAGGACCGGTGAGATAGTCTTAAGGTATTTATTATTAGTGTTTTCATTTTTTGAGACAGGATTTCCTCATTCAGTTCAGGGTGACTTTGAACTCGCTGTGTAGCCCAGGTTGGTCCAAGTTTATTTTCTCCTACCTCAGCCTCTTGAGTGCTGGGGTTATGGTGTGCACCACTACGTCAGTTTTAAAGTCTACTTAAATGTTACCTCCTCAAAAATTGTTTTCCATAAAAATGATTAGGCTGGGGCTGCAGCCTAGTAATTTCTCTCTCTTTTTTTTTTTTTTTTTTTTTTTGAGGCAGGGTCTCACTATGCAGTTCAGGATGGCCTTGAGCTTACTTTGTAGCCCAGGTTGGTCCTGAATTTACAACAATCCTCCTACCTCAGCCTTTTGAATACTAGGATTAAAGGTACGAGCGACCATGCCTGGCTTATTTTTTATTTCTTGACTTTTTTTTTTTTTTTTTTTTGATACTCATGACCTTGCGATTGCCAAGCAGGCACTTATGCCTCTGAGCTAATCTCCTGGCCCTATTTCTTGACTTTTGACAGTAGAACATAAGCTCTATGAGAATAGGGTGTGTTTTCTTGTTTTGGTCTTTTTCTGGTTTTGTTTGAAGGAGAGCCTCACTGTGTAGCCCAGGCTGGCCTTGAACTTGTGGCTATCCTCCTGCCTCCGCTTCTGAGAACTGGGATGACAGGTGTGTGCTACCACACCTGGCGAGAGCGAGAAGATTTTGTGCGCTTCATTTTCTGTTCTCAACTTGGTATCTAAAATAATGGTTGCCCAATAAAAAATGATAAGTATTTGGCAAAAAATTGAATGAAAAGATTCAGCAAAACTATGTCACTTTTGCCTAACTTTAAAATAATCGCCATTTATCGAAGAATCACTTATGGGGTAAACATCCTCACCTATAAGGGTTAGTATTAGTATTATTTCCATTTTCCACATGTTGTAATTACATAACTTGTCTGAGTTAGCAGCAAAGAGTTTCAAAATTTGGCTAAATGAAAGGGGCCCAGTCACAAAAGCCACATACTGTATGATTCTATTTATGTGAGCTATTCAGAACACATATGTCTAGCTGAGTGTGGTGCATTCCTGTAATCCCAGCACTTGTGAGGCTGAGGCAGGAGGATCACCATGGGTTCGAGGCTAGTTAAGTTCAACGCAGGTCTGGACCCTTTCTTGAGGTCCTTTTTCTTTCTTGAGACCCTTTCTCAAAAAAATAAAGATTCACTGGGTGTGGTGGCACACACCTATATTCCTAGCATTTGGAAGGCTGAGGCAACAGGATTGCTGTGAGTTCCAGTCTACCCTGAGTTACATAGCATGTTCAAATAGTGAGATGAAAGCTCAAAAGAAGAAAAAAATAACAAAAAACCAGCCCCTCTAGCTCCTACCCAAAACATAGCCCAAAAAGCACGGGGGCTATAACTCATTATGAAGGTCTTGAGCTTAATCCCCATTACTGGAAAAAAAATCACTTGGGTTGGTCATACACTATTCAATGAAAGACCAGTCTTTTATGTATCCTTGTATTCATAGCACAAGCATGCATGCACACACACGCACATGTATACACATGCACGCACACACACAGGAAAAGATATTCAAACCCCCCTCACAACCATTTTTTTTTGGTTTTTGTTTGAGACAGGGTCTTTCTATGTAGTCCAGGCTGGCCTTGAGCTTGAGGTGATCCTCTTACTTCAGCCTCCTGAGCGCTGAAATCAAAATTGTAGGCCCCCATGCTTGGCTAACTCACAGATAATTTTTGGGTTTGACTTTGGTTTGTCTGTCTTAATTGAAGTGAAATTCCTCTAAAGTGCAGCAAATTGTTTTAAAGTAGCCAGTTCAGCGGGTGGCATGTAAACATTCACCATGTGGTGCTGCCACCATGTCTGTCAGCTCTGAGCCACTCCCCCCACCCCAGAAGTCTGGTCCACTTTGAGCACCTGCTGCTTCATTCCTCCTTCCTGCCCCCTGGTTCCAGTGGACTTGCCTATTCTGGAGATTTCATGGAAATGGAATCATATAATATGGACCTTTTGTGTCTCTTATTTTTGGTACTGGGGATTGAACTGGGTCCTCACACTGAGCTACATCTTTATTTTACTTTTGGTTTGAAATAACATCTTGCTAACTTGCCCAGGCTGGGCTTGAACTTGCCATCCTTCTGCCTCAGCCTCTGAGTGTTGGGATTTATAGGTGTGTGTTACTGTGCCTGGTTGTGTCTGGCTTCTTCCATTTAGTAAGTGAAAAATGTCATTGTTTTTAGGGCTTTCCCAGGTTGTAGCATATGTCAGCATATATCTCGGTGCTTCGAACTGAACCCAGGCACCCGTGCATGTTAAGAACAACCACTGAATTACACTCTCTTCCTAGTACATTCTATGGACCGTGTTCTATTGTATCAGTGTTTTTTTTATACCACTGGGGATTAAATCTAGGGCCTTCACATGCAGCTATGCCTCCATCCCTCTTTTGTTTTTTTATTTTGAGACAAGGTGTTAGCATATGTTCCAGAGAACCAAGCAGTTAAGACAGGGTCTTGCTAAGTTGATAGGTTGCCTAGGCTGGGCTCACACTGAAAGATTCTCCTGCCTCAGCCTTCTAGGGTGCTGGGATTCTAGGTATATACCACTGTGCCTGGCTTTTGTATTTCATCTTTATTATGGCTGAAAAATGTCATTGCATTTAGGGACCACAGTTCTTTATCCTTTCATCAGCAGATGGACAGTAGGGTATTTCCGTATTTAGCTCTTGTGATGTCCATATAAACATTCCCCAAAGATTGCTTGACTACTTGTGGGTATACACTTAGGAGTAGGCTTGTTGGTAATCCTATTACCTTTCTGAGGAACAGTTAGTTTTCTTAGGAACTGTACCCTTTAACATTCCCACCAACAAATGCATGAGTATTCCAATTTCCCAGTATGTGAAGGATCTAAATTCTCACCAAGATATATTTACTGTATGAAAAAAAATAATTGGCCATCCTGGTAGGTGGGAAGTGGTGTCTCATTGTGGTTTTGCTTTGTATTTCTGCAATGATTAATGATTTTAAGGATCGTGTTTTATATATACTCATTTGTGTTTGGAAAAATGCCTATTCAAATCCTTTGCCCATTTCTTATTTTTATGTTTTATGTTTGATTTTTTGAGGCAGGGTCTTGCTGTGAAGTTCAGCCTGGCCTTGAACTCTCTTGGTGATCCTCCTGCCTCCTCCTGAGTGCTGATATCATATCATAATTGGCCATAACAGAATTCTTAGAATACTTTTGTTCTTAATAGATACACACTGAAATACTATTTAGTGTTAAGGGTAAAAGATTTTGCAATATTTTGCAAGTGATTTAGCAAAATAAACCAACCACATAGAAGGCAAACATGGAGGAATGATTTAAAAACTGGTGACTATGGTTGTTCATTTTTCTAATCATCTTTTAATGGGGTTTATATTTTTAAAAATAAAAATTTGAAAAAGAAACAAGTTCTATCATGTACAGGCACAAATTTTCTATGATAAATGTGATCATTATATATCTAAAATGTACCAATAAAATCTGACAGGAAAAAAATTGAAAACGTCGAAATCTGTTCAAAAATCAAACAGCATTTCCTCTTGTGTTATTTAACATCTTTAGAGTAATACTGAAAACTTTAAATAATAAATGTTATACTTAGTTCTATAACTAAGGAAAGGAACTAATGTCAAGATGCGTATCTTGTATCTTTTTTTTTTTTTTTTTTTCTTTTGTGGAACCTGGGATTGAACTCACAACCCTGTGCTTACCAGGCAGGCACTTAGGCCACTGAGCTAAACCCCCGACTCCAGGGATGCCTATCTTTCAAAGCTATTGCGATTAAACAGACGGGAGAACACTTCAGTTACGTTTCTGTGCCACTGTGAACTTGATTCCTATCTTTAGGAGCCTGGTTGGGTGCAAAGAGTGGAACCAACCAGGCTTGAATTTGGATCCTGCTGGGTTGCAGAATCTCTCTAGGACTCAGTTTCCTGGCAGTAACTAGAGAAAATAACTGTCTTGTCTGATTGTGTGCCATCCTAGGTTGTTCACAAAACTGAGCTTCACTTCGTGTGCAAAAGCTTCACGATACCTTTCATGCTATCTGCAGCTTTTCCTTCATTAAGCTTGTGCGGGATCCCGTGCGGGAGGCCGGCAGGAGGGAGAAAAGGACTTCGCCAAGGTCACTCAGCTGATCTAGGACCCAGGCTTCACAGCTTTTGGTCCAGTGCCCTTTCCACGCCCGCCAGAGAGGAGGGAGCAGCCCTCAGGGGGATGCGGGGATGTAGAGGCGCCAAAGGAGAGAAGAGGCCGCGCGAAGAGAGGCGGTGCGAGGCCGGCGGAGGCGTGGGCCCGGCCGGGACCCATGGAGAGGCTGCTGGCCGGGGTGCGGAGGGCGCGGCCGCTGGTAGCGGGGAGGGTCGCGAGGGCCCGCCCCACGCCGCACGAGCAGCTGGGGGCCTGGGCGGCCTGGGGGTCGCGGGCGTGGGCGGACCGGACGCAGCAGCGGCCGAGGCTGCACCTGCGGGAACCGGCCCGCGGCGGGGCCCTTCCGCACAGGTAGCCGGCGAGGCACGCGACAGGGTTGCGGCTCCAGCGTCGCGACCCCGGCCTGGGCCGCGGACGGGGCGGGGCTGGGGGCGGGGCCGGCGGCGGGGGCGGGCCCTGGGGCCCCCGCAGGCGCGGCGGCGGCGGCGGCGCAGGCGCGGTTCCCGCCTCCTCCCGGCTGGCGGAGCGAGTGCAAGCTGCAGCCCGGCACGACTGGGCTCCCGCGTCCCCATCGCCGTCACCTCCGCCGTCGCGCAAGGCCCCCGCCTCGCTCCTGCCGCGCCGAGATGAGCTCCCGGAAAGGTGAGTGGGCGCGGCGTACCCTGGTGCTTGCCACGCGGCCTCGCAGGCCGGCGGCCCGACCGTTAATGTGTGTCTCCTCTCTCCTCAGTGCTGGCCATTCAGGCCCGAAAGCGGAGGCCGAAAAGAGAGAAACATCCGAAAAAGTGAGTCCGCGCCGCGCTCTGCCGGGGCCCAGCCCCACCCCGCGGGGAGCAGCGGCACCCGCGCGGGGAAAGTTGCCGGGTCTCCCGGGACGCGGCGCCGGCTCCGAGCGCCCCGCGGCGGGAGGGGCGGTGGGGACGGGAGGGACGCGGCGCTGCGCGGCGCGGCGCGGCGGACCCCGGACGGAGGCCCGGCCGGCGGGGGCGGCGGAGCGGGCGCCGGGCGTGCGCGTCCCCCTCGCTCCCCTCTCGGCGTGCGCGCCGGGCCGGCCGGGTCGCGGGCCTTGGGCCGCGCCGCGCCTCGCCGCCCCGGGGGCGGCAGCCGACTCCTACCTGGGCGCCGCGGCCCGAGGGAAGCGGAGTTGGGCGTGCGAGGGACGCGGCCCCGCCTTCCGGGCGTCCCGCTCCAGCCCCTCGGCCTCTGCCGAAAACCCGAGCTGGTTGTCAAGTGGCTCGCTTCGGGCGTGTTCTTGGCGCGAGTTCAGCCCCGAGACCCGTGCGTGTCTGCGCTCCGGGTTTTTTACGAAACTTTGTGCTCGGCCCGAGCGAGCGGCGTTGGGCGCGGGGCTGCGGCGCCAGGGACCTGGGCGAGGGCCGGGACCGCTGCGGGTGACATTCGCCGCAGGCCAGCGCCGGCTACCTCCTGCCGGCTGCGCCTCCGAGAATCCTTTCCTGGAGAGTGGCGCGGCCCGCAGGGCGCCGTCGGTCGTCCCCCTTTCCGCCTTTCTCTGCCAGTTTGAGCTTTGCCTCCCGTTCCCCAGAAAGCCGCGTGTGATGCCACGGGGGATGACAACCTGGGAGCGTCTTTAATAAAATCGTGAAGCATTCTTGTCTGTCTGATTCCTTCTGCGCTCTTTTTTCTGCGTGTTCGGTTTAGGTTGCTGCCTGGCGAATTTACTACCCATTGGCGGCATCTAGGAAAACTGGCAGTCATTTCTAATGTATCTTGAGACAGGATGTCATCCATTGGAAACTGATCGTAACTCGAAAGTATTTTGAGGATTTCATAAAATGTGGCTATCCACTTGAAAAATACCTTCCTTAAGAGAAAAGGCTTTGGAGTGAGGGGGAAAGGACTTACGGAGTTGCAGGGGCCGAGTGCAAAAATTGGATAAAAAGATGCAAAAATAAAATGGGTCCTGGTAGTGTAGGATGCTTTTTAAAAATTAGTGCTAGCTTTCAAGTCAGAGCCTTGAATTTGGGATTTCCTTTGGTGAAATACTTAAGTTTAGCCTACGAGTAAGGAGAACTGTAATGTTTTAGATTCTGAGTGTTGAGGCTTAATCATAGCTTTCAGTGCAGAGCGTTGAGTTTATACCATTATGCTCAGAAACAAAAAGCAGTTGTAAAGCAAGACCCAAGTTGATTTTAATTAATTTTTTGAGGTACTAGTGATTAAATTTAGGGCCTTGTCCTTGAGTTCTACAGCGAGGCTACACCTCCAGCCTTTTTAAATCTTTCCTTCCTCTTTTTATTTTTCCCCCTTTTTTCTGAGCCTGTGTTGTCCTTACTGGCTTCAAAGTAGCCAAGGCTAACTTTGAACCGGCAGGAATCCTCCTGCCTCAGCTTCTTAGTACTGGCATTGCGGGTATATGCTGCCACTTGTATATTTGGTGTGAGATAAACACTTGTTAAAAAAATAAAATTTAATTAAATTGCCAAGGCTGATCTCCAGTTTGCATTCTGCCTGCCTCAGCCTTGAAAGTAGCTGGGATTACAGACTGGGACAAGCATGAGGGTGGTTCTGTGTGTTTGCGTATAAATATCTTTATTACATGTGCTTGCGTGTAAAAAAAAGTGTTTTTTGGTACTGGGGTTGGAAGGTGTGACCTTCCTTGATATAAAGATAATATTCATCATACAGAATTTGTGTCTGTGCATGATATATTTTGAATCTTTCCCCCCCAGTCACCTCCTCTCCCTTTAACTCTTCCCCTGGTTATTTACAAAGCTTTATTTCCACTTTTTTGTTGTACTTTTTTTCTTGTCCCTTCTTACCGCCCTGCCCTCTACCTTATTTCCTTTCTCATTTGAACATTTTCTTCCCATTTCTCAATATTAACATTTTTCTCCTTACTTACACTTTTGGTTTCTCACCAAAGAAATAACGCAGTATTTACACGTGTGTGTTTGATTTATTTCACTTGAGTATAGTCTTAGCTAGAAATGTCACAAACTTATCCTTTATGGCAGAGTTGTACTCCATTGTATTAAAAAACCGTATCTTGATCCACTGGTTGGTTGATGACATTTGAGCTGTGAAAAACAGTTTTAATTAAGTTAGTGTGTTTCACATTTTCGTATTTCAAGGTGTGGCTTTCCTAATGGCCAAAAGTCTCCTTTGGGTGTGATGTAGTTCAGATTTATGTGGTTGCTTTGTAGAGAATTAGCAGATATCCACAGTATTGTGATTTGCTTTCATGTCTCAATCTGCCAGTTTCTTCCAGTGTTGTGTATATAATAACATTGGAAGGAAAGAGCGACTAATGATGAAACAAACTGGTGTGCAAGGTAGCACCAAGAGACCAGCCCAACTATGCAATGGATTGAGGCAGTGTCATTTTTTCACTTTATTCTCTGAATCAAGAGGTATTATTTGAGGCTGGGTATGGTGTTTTGTCCCTGTAATCTCAGCATTTGGGAGGCCGAGGCAGGAGGAGTGATGCAAATTTGAGGCCAGGCTGGGCTACATAGTTAGTTCAGGACTAGCCTGAACCTGCATAGCAAGACCCTGTCTCACAAAAAATTGTTAATGGAAATAATTGCTTGATACAGTTTATCATATGTTAACAATTTTTTGCATGACTTTTATGAGATGAGGGAGAGTTTTGAACAGAGCAGATAAAGCTCTTACAAAGCTTGCATTCTTTGAACAGAGCAGATAAAGCTCCTTACAAAGCTTGCATTCTATGGAGATTTGGGGAAAAACAAAGTAGATGACAAGATCATTTCAGATAGTGCTAAGAGTCAGGAAAGAAAGGAACACAGAGCTTTTTTAAATTTTTTTATTTTTTTGTCTTTTTCCTTTTTATCGGTACCAGGGATCTGCCCCTGAGCTAAATCCCCAGCCCCTGGAACACAGAGCTTTTAAGGTAATACTAATGATAGGTGTCAGTCAAATGAATTGTGTGCATTTATAACTAGTGATGACCCTATGAACTGTGGGCTGTTACTATCACCGTTTTACAGGTTCCGAGACACTGCTCAACTCTTCAGGAGGCGCCATTTGAACAGAAGCTCCAATGAGGAGATGCAAAGTCTTGGGGAGCAGTAGCTGGTACTGACTGAGGACTCCAGAGGCCACATGGCTGGAGCTGTACAGGGGCAGAGGAGAGTGGCAGGGCTCAGGTGTAGGGCTGTAGGCTGTGGAAGGAGGAGTTCTGACTCCTGGTTTTTTTTTTTTGAGCGACGCCATGCTGTGTAGGCCAGACTGACCTTGAACTATGGCGCTCTGGTTGACCTGGAACTAACTCACAAAGGTCTTTCTGCCTCAGTCTCTTGAGTGATGGGATTACTGGTGTGGACCAGCTGCCTGCTGGCTATTTCTAATTTTTTTGGTTTGTGTGATTGATATTTTAAAGAGCACTGACTAGTACATGAGTTGATTGTGTGAATAAGGGAAAAAGTACAGGGAGTGGAAACTGGAGGGTGATCTGGGCTGGTGACACATCCTGTAATCCCAACACTCGGGGAGGCTGAAGCAGGAGGGTGGCAAATTCAAGCTTCAACCGGGCAATTTAGTGACCCTCTATTTTAAGTATAAAAACAAGGCTGGAGGTGTAGATCAGTGGGAAGGTCCTGCACTCAGTCATTCATTAGCCTCCCCCAAAAAAGAAAGATACAGGAAATGAGGCCATATGGTTCTCTGTACAAGGAGTAATACTAGCAAGAAAGGACTTGAGTTTGCTGTTTTTTTTTTTTTTTTTATTTTTTGGTTTTTTTTGGGGGGGGGTACCTGGAATCAAACTCAGGACCTCACGCTTGCCAGGCAGGAATTGTGCCACTGAGCAAAATCACCAGCCCCTTGCACTTTTTGTTTTAAGCACATGTATGGTACTAGGGCTTTGAACCTGTGGTCTTGTGCATGTTAGATGCTAGCAGGTGCTTCTCCAGCCGGATGCCCTGTCCCCCTGCAGTTCTGGGGATTGAACCCAGAGCCTTCATGCTTCATGCAGTCCCAGCCCTTTTTTATTATTTTGAGACGGGCTTGCCAAATTTGCCATACTGGCTTGAATCTGCCACAGCCTCCCAGAATGCTGAGATTATAAGCCTGTGGTGGCTTCTTTTTTTTTTTTTTTTTTTTTTTAAGCTATTTATTTATGTTTTTATTTTTGAGACAAGGTCCAGCTAAATAGTGAAGGCTGGCCTTGAACTGGCAGCAGTCCTTCTGTCTCAGACTCCTGCATGCTGGAATTCAAGTGTGTAAACTACGCCTGACTTTTTAAATTTAAATTAAAAATTTTTTTTTTTAATTGGTACCCGGGATTGAACTCACGACTGCCTGCTTCCAAGGCAGGTGCTTATGCCACTGAGCTAAATCCCCAGCCCTGACTTTTTTATTTTGAAATATCATCTTGCTAAGTTGCCTCAGCTGGCTTTCAGCTTCTGCTTGTACCTGCTGAATAGCTTTCACTTTGTGATTAGGTCTCCAGTGGAGGAAGAGTAAATTTTAAATTATGTGAATATGATGACTGGCAGATTGAATTACGTGAATTTATGGGACTGGAGATGCTGGCTCATTAATTTTAGTTCATTCAGGTTTGTGAGCTTTCATGAATTGAACTGGTTCTAGAAGTTACTTTTTCAGTGCTCTGTACTTTGTAATTGTCAAGAATAGTCTCTGCTTAGTTGTGGAAGTGGAATATGATATTTTGCAGTGCTGGAGATTGAACCTAGCATCTTGTACATGATAGACAGGTGCTCTATCACTTGAGTCACATCCCTACCCCTTTGTTGTCCCATGACCCCCTCTCCACTGGGGTGGAACCCAGGGCCATTGCTCT